GTCGTTTTAACCTACTAATGAATGTTCCATGTTATATTGATATTTTTTTTATTCGAATAATTAAGGAGCTATGTAATGGGGTCGGCTTCTCCCTTTTGAGCTATTCCTCCACCGCCTCTCCATTCAATTAAAACGATGTCATTTTACATGGAACTCAACCATTCACTTCATTGTTTAGACTTGGCCAATCAAGAAGGAATAGGGATGCTTGGATTGGATACTTCACTCTTCCCTTCTCTCCATTTCATCACGTGAAGGCTTTCCCTTTTCTCTTCGTCACCCTCTACCCCCATGCTGTTCAAGAGATCTTTATCGTTAGTATCGGCCCACATGCTTCTTCTTCAGTGGCGTCTTCATCAAGTTTGAGAGTGCTCCTCGCTAGTGAATGTTCAAGAGCTTCATCCATCCTACATTGTTATGTTTGTTATTAATGAATATTATTATTTAGACCTTTCTTCTACATTGTTCATTTTATCAGAATGACAAAACGTTCCGAGCTCATCTTGACTCCTAACAAGATGGGATAGCTTTTGAGATGGAACATGAGACAAAAATGTAGTCCTGATCATTTTTTTTAGAAGGGACATGGGATAAGAGTATCTTGATCCCATCCGATCCCATAAACAACCCTACCTATGGGGATCTATTTCTGTAATTTTGTCCAGAAAAACTGTATCTCAGTGCATTATAGACCTTCAGTGCTTTTGTAATTATTACGTCACGCTTCCTGCTCAAGACACGGCTTCAGGCCGTGTTCCTTTTTGTTTGCAAAAAAAGGAAAGATACCTTCGCAGGTCCTAATAACTTACCCCAATTTTAAATCAGGTCCTTGTACTTTTAGTTGTTTTGATTGGGCCCTTGTATTTTTCACAATTAATATAGTTAATCCTTTTCCATCTAACACTGTTTAAATCACTAACAAATCCATTAACTCTGTTGGTCTAAGGTAATTCGATGTCAGGTTGATTAATTTTTTTTACACCGTGAACTAACAACATGCGCTGGAGGAATCAAGCAGAATAGTCTTTGGGCCCATATTTGGAAACACTGTTGTGGAAGGGTTTCGGCAAAATTGCCGATTCTTAATTTAACTGAGCTCCATCTCTTATGGTACCTTGATGACCCCAAGAAAAGGAAGAACCACCGCGGCTTTATTGCCTTCGTCACAATGATCTCAACTGCACAACGCTCCTCACCAAAGGATTCCTCTCAGTTTTCAATGCCAGCATCACGACGGAGGTGGAAGACCGATGGAGTCTGCGATAATCCAAGGACCTATTGTTCCTCATCATGAATCGGCGAGAATCCACAAGTGGTGGAGTTGTTGGGTCGGGTCATGCAGATTGCAATATGGACATTGACTCGGATCTTCGACGATAGCATGGCAGTCTGCTTAGATCTTTCATGTCGCTAATCTTGGGAGGAGATCAGTTGGTGTCTTTGAAGAGCTTCTCACAGAAAACGATGTCGCCGACAGAGCACATATCAGAGTTGCTGGTGTCATTGAAGAATTCGAAGAAATCAAAGGCCTCTGATGATAACGAAGACTGACGACCGATCCACTTGGACAACGACATGTCGTCTAACTCTAAGCCTTTGCATTTTTTAGGAGAGCGCGAAGACAATTTTGCTTAATCGATGTTTCGTTCTCTTCCAGAGTACATGCTGTTAGTCCACGATGTAAGAATTTAATCTACTTGGCTAGCTTAGACTAACGGAGTTAATGGATTTGTTAGTGATTTAAACGATGTTAGATTGGAAAAGGATTAATCGTATTAACAGTGAAAAATACAAGGGCCCTATCAAAACAATTAAAATTGCAGAAATCTAATTTAAAATTGGGGTAAATTATAAGGGCCTGTAAAGGTAGTTTCCCAAAAAAATAAAAGAACCACAGCAGCAGGCTCGCTTTTCCTCGCATCCGTCTCTTTCTGTATTGAAATGGTCAGGTTCCCTGATCGGAAGTCCCATGGCAAATGGTCTATTTATTTTGTGAAAGGACCAAAAGGAAGAGATATTTTCTGGCTCTCTTGCCTTTGTGGTTACGTTTTGATTACTATTCCAATCAGTGGGCTCCACGGCTGGTATTCTATTACACTCCACTCCTTTCCGAGCACGGTTTCGAGCACCATACACCGTTTAGATTTTATGTTTATTAAAATAAAATTATAAATCTTAATAAATCTAATCTATTATTAATCTAAATAATACAAATTTATTTAAATAAATTAATTTAATATTAAATGTTTTTATTATTTTTATAAATTACTTATTCAAATATGCTATAGATAATTTAGATTTAAAATTTTGAAGTTGTAATTTTTAAAATTTTTTTAAATGCCAGTTTGAATATTATCTTTATTTTTATATTTTGATATTATATTTGCTAAACTAAAAATTTATAAAAATTCTAAAAAAATTTAATATTAAATTCAAATTGTTCAAAATTTATCTAGACAGTCAATTTATAAAAATTATAAAAAATTTAATAATAAATTAAATCACCTAAATTAAAGTAACATTGTTCACATTGGTAGTCAAATTTATTTATTAAAGTTTTATAATAAAAATAAAAAGATACAAAAATTTGGACAGTCCAAATACTCATGACGTGATGAGCGCCAAAGTCAAGGCCCTCCTTTCCTTTCAAAAATATCCGGGTCTGGTCAAGGTAGTTTTAATAGATTCAATAGTTGCCTCACTCTTACAATGAGATGCACCAACACCACTCTGAACATTACGTACGGTTTTTTGTTTTTGTTGCTGCTAAGATTAATCAAATTCAAAGGAGTACGATGTTGCCTTTCTCTATGAAAGGCATGATAAGGGTGAAACTGAAACTCTCTCTTGAACACCCCAACAAATTAAATCAACTTGCTCAGCACAAACTAAACTAACCTTATTTCACTCCAAGTTTGCCCAGCACACGATTCCTTTTGTTCTTACAACTTTGGCATCCTAGGCTATTTTGTTTTTTTCCTTTGATCCGGAGCACCCATTGTACTAATTAACTCCTTAGTGACATAGTCAAACTTCGTTCGTTCTTTAGCATACTCTTAATTTCTCGCTTAGCTTTGGTACTCTAATAAAATTGTGGTAAAAAACCTTAGAAACTCACACAATTGTTTAACCTATTACTCACTTCGAGGATTTTTTTTTTTCCTTTGGTATGCTTGGCAAATTCTCAATAGGCATAGTGCTCCGCATTTGAAGTCCAAAACCACGCCAACTGTTGCACTTTGCAAATGCACAGGTTGTGGCAAATAATAAAGTATAAGTAATAAAGTAACAAAATACATAGAGATTTGTTTTAAAAATGTGATTAAACAAAATACTTCGCAATTTTAATTAAGTGGAGTAAAACATAAGTTGAAAAAAAGATGATTTTAAAAATTATATTAGAACTAAAAAATAAAGAAAAATAAATGATTCTTAGACTTCAAGATTAAAATGAGACTTGTGATTATTTATCTCCCTCTTGCATCTCAAAATAATAAAATTATCTCCTCTGATAAATGTTTTTAATAAAAATAAGTGTTAACTTAGGGTTTTAAAAAAATACTTAAACGAGTTATCTTGAGTCATGAACAAGTGTTTAATTTAATTAATTCTTCAAACTTTTATTACAATCAATAAAACTTAATTTTAAACTCCAATCCTAATGTGGCTATGCAAAATTAGTAAATATATCTCTATCTTACCAATAAAACCATCCATTCATATTGTAAATTTCAATTTCTTGCACTATTTTATCCAAATTTTACACTCAAACTAGTCCTCTCAAGTGTCAGCCAAATGAACAAATTAACCAAAAAATAGTTTATTATTTAAAAGCATTAAGAGAATAAACACTTATATGCCATTAATCACAAAAAGAGATGAGAAAATTAGTATTACTTCATACAAAGAGTTCAAAATAATCCTAAAATTAAGTGTTGAGCTACTCATAATCATCCACAAGTTATAAATATATAAAATATTTGAATCCATATCTGATTTCAAAAGAGGAAAGGAAGAAGAAACAACAAAACAAAGAGAATGGAGTTCTAAATGTTCTCAAATCTTTGTTCCCTTGCTCAAAGCTGTTCCAACTCCAAAACGCTAGCTCACAAAACTCCCAACGGTGGATCAAAGTCTAAAGCCCACTCATTTTAAGTTAAGAAAAATGCAACATTTTTCTAATTGCAGCAAAAGTCATACTTTAGTGACAATTTTAGCTATTTTTCACACTTCTTCCAACTAATGAAACTAAGCATCTTTGCTTTTGATTCCTCCATTTAAAAGCCTTTCAAAAGCATCATTGAAAGTCCAGAATTACTTTAAATCAAATCTTAAATCAAAACAACAAAAATTTACCTCAAAAGTGACAAATTAATAAAGCTAAGTGTGCAGACCCAATATAAGGTATACATTTTCCTAATTTAAGCAATCAAAATGGATACAATTATGCCAAATATATTAGAAACCATGGAAAATGTGATGAAATGAAATAAAATATATAGCTTAACACCAACAGATGGATATAATAAATTATAAAATAAAATATTATCTGAATGTTATGGTATCATTTTAACATATTTTCAACCTTATGTATTTTTAAATAAATCATATTACACGTAATAAGGGGTATAACAAAATATGATAAATAAAATACACTATTTAAGTAATGTTGAAAGTTTTTATTTAATTTTTCTTACTCTTTATCCTCTTACATATTCATTCTGTTGAAATTTTATAACAATTTTTTTTAAAAAAATTATAATCCTACTTTTCCAAAAAATTTTAACTTGAACTTATTCAAAGCTCCCCCTCCCTTTCATTTGCCTCAAGCTAAACAGGGGCTTAAAATACTCTTGCACTGTATTTAAAATCTAGTTTAATTACGGCAACTTCTCTGGAAAATATAGAACATGATTTTTCGCCCTCAGCAAATCCGTACAAATTAACGCCCAAGACTATTACAATCTTTTAACATTCACTTCACCACAGACAACTTAGAAAGCTTGACCAATATATTCCTCCACTATTGCTATAACCTAATTCCTTGAATGAGATGCTCCCCAGCTTGCCATTAAAGAACAGAGACTAGCCAATAACAGCTTCACAAACTATGTAGCTTGTTCGTCATCAACAAGCATGCCTTCCCTCAAAATTCTTTTGCTCCTCTTCTTCATCAGCTTCCTCTATTCTGCGACTCCTTCAGAAGCACAACCTACTTATTCTAATAGCAGCTGCTCCTCCAACTCCTTCTCTGCCAACAGTTCCTTCCAATCCGACCTCACCATCCTCCTCTCTTCCCTAGCTTCCACCACCACCGACTTCTACAACACCACTGTTGCCGGTGGCCGCGACACCGTATACGGCCTCTTCATGTGCCGGGGTGACGTCAACCTCGACTTGTGCCGCCAGTGCGCCGGTAACGCAATCCAAAAATTAATTTCCCTTTGCCGATTCTCCAAGGAGGCCGTGATCTGGTACGACGAGTGCATGGTTCGCTATTCTTACCGCTACTTCTTCTCCACCGTCGACATAAGACCTACTTCGTGCGGGGTCAACCCCACCAACGTCTCCAACGATCAAACAAGATTCATGAATTTATTGTCGACTACCATGAACCAGGCGGCGGACGAGGCAGTGAAACCTGCTTCGGGGCAAAAGAAATTTGCGACCCAAGAAGCGAGTCTACAGTTTCAGACTATGTATTGTCTGGTTCAGTGCACGCCGGACCTTTCGCCCCGAGATTGCAGGACGTGCCTGAGAGGTGCGATCGGGGACCTCATGCAGTGCAGTGACAGGAGGATAGGAGGAAGAGTTCTGTATCCCAGTTGCAACGTTCGCTATGAATTGTTCTCATATTATAATTCTAGTGGAAAGCCAGTATCGCCACCTCCACCTACACTTTTTCCGGCCAAAAATTCTTCAGATCGTCTTCAAGGTATAGTTTTTTTTTTTTTTTTGGGTCCAATTGTCAAGGTATGGTTAAACTTATATGCCTCTTCCTTTTCTTTTATTTAAAAAATAAATATAAAAAAGATTACAAAACGGGACTACAAGCCATTAACATGCTACGAGTTTGGGGATCATGAAACCAGGGGAATCTTCCTGAACTTACATGTTTGCTGATTTTGATTTTGTAAAAATATATATTATGGTAAATCTATCAATAAACGAGAAACTTAATTAATAACAATAAATCTATCATCTTTATGATAAATATGCACACACGATGCATGATGCGTATGTGATCCCCTGCTCTTGCGGTACGGGATAAAGTTAATTTTTTTTTAGTTGTAAATGCTAGATATACAAGTTAATGTAGCATTAATATAAGCATTAATTATAAAAAAAACAATATATGCATAACAATTTTTATTAGATGGGTCAACTGTATAGATTACATTATATTCCCTAATGATTATGCTCTATTAACAACCAAATATTTAGATATATAAAAATTTTAGCAATAAAAGTAATATTTTGAATCATAAAAATATTTCATTTAAATTTTTTTAAGTTATATATATATAAATATATATCCAGTTCTACTTTTATTTTAGAATAATTTTTTATCCCCTAAAAATTATAATTGACTGTATTTCTTCCTAACTCGTCGTTGTTCGACAACAGTAGATCCACATCATGAAAAAAACTAGGCTTCATTAATTGTTTGCTTGTATTTTTAATACTTTTCAAAAGTTACTTTTTTAAACGTTGGTAAAAAAAATTAAGTTTAATATAAACAGTTTGAATCAATGGAAGCACATTAATTCTCTGCACTCCTAACGTCAAAAATTGACTTGCTTGAGTTGACAAATGACAAGTCTTCTCACGAACTGCTTGAGACGTGAAGTATCTGATGTTTATACAGGAAAATCAAAGACCATTGTGATAATTGTGGTTTCTGTTGTTGGTGCGGCGATATTTTTTTGTTTGGTGTACTATCTCCTGACGAGTCTGACAAAAAAGAGACGCAGGGCTGCTCTTAGAAAAAAATACTGTATGTAAATTTTCGTTGTCTCTTTATGCAAGCAGTTTTTCTTTCCGATAAGAGTTGTGGCCATGCTTTTATTATACATTGATTATTATTTCTTTGTTTCTTTGTTTTGTTTTTCTTTCTTGGTGCAGTTGGAGATGAAAGCAACACTTTAGAGCCTCTACAATTCAGTTTGGCTGCTGTCGAAGCAGCAACAAACAAGTTTTCACGGGAAAATAGTTTAGGCCAAGGTGGATATGGACAGGTTTACAAGGTGACACACGCGATCAATATGTATGTATATGTGCAAATACATTACCTTTTTAATTCAACCACATATGATTTTAGGGTATTCTTTCAAATGGCCAAGAAATAGCAGTAAAGAGACTTTCAAAAGGTTCCGGCCAAGGTGCAGAAGAATTTAAAAATGAAGTTTTATTCATAGCCAGACTCCAGCACAGAAATCTGGTGGCCTTACTGGGATTTTGCATAGAAGAGCAAGAAAAAATTCTTATTTATGAATATGTTCCCAACAAGAGCCTTGATTACTTTCTATTTGGTTTGACTCTTCTAAACTTATTTTATAACTCTTGATTGAAATTTATTAATGTTATCTTTATTTATGTAGTCACTTCAGTCACTCACAAAAAATTTGTGTACATATAGGTTCCCGGAAAAATAGAAGATTAAATTGGGAAGAGCTTTATGAAATCATAAAAGGAGTTGCTCGAGGAATTTTATATCTACATGAATATTCGCGCCTTAAGATCATACACCGTGATCTCAAACTAGTAATATTTTGCTAGATAATGAAATGAATCCAAAAATTTCAGATTTTGGCTTAGCTAGGATGGTTGCTATCAATGAAAATGAGGGAAATACAAAGAGAATTGTTGGAACATAGTAAGTTTTATTTTCCCCCTTCAACATTTACATTTTATTTATATTGTTAAATAAGGGAAAACGTATTTTTTTCTTAGCTGACACCAATATATTTGTTTGCTTTTCATTTCATCATTTTAAATGGCTAAATTAATGCACTTATTTTCTATTGGATAAAATTTCATTATTGATATTCTTTTTCAGTGGTTATATGTCTCCAGAATATGCAATGTTTGGACAATATTCTGAAAAATCAGATGTTTTTAGTTTTGGAGTTATAATATTAGAAACTATTAGTGGAAAGAAGAACTCAAGTTATCATGATGAATCACAATATGCGGATAGCCTCTTAAGCTATGTAAGTTGTCATCAATATTTCTTATGCAGTCATGTTTTCGAGGAATGATTCAAATAATGAGTTTTACTGATTAATTAATAATGCAGACGTGGAATCAATGGAAGGATGAAAAGTTGCTAGAGATGTTGGATTCAAATCTAAAAGAAATGGGATCATATAATGAAGTGACAAGGTGCATCCAAATTGGGTTGTTATGTGTTCAGAAACATCCAGATGCAAGACCTTCCATGGCTACCATCGTTTCATATCTTACCAATGATTCAATTCAATTGCCACATCCACAGCAACCTGCATTCTTTATGCATGGTCGAAGGAGACTTACTTCTGGAAGTAAAGAATATAGCTCTGTTAATGAAATGTCTATAAGTGATTTCTTTCCTCGCTAGTCGCTTCGCTAATACACGCTGTTGTAGATTTCTTCTCTATCTACTTGACACCAAGGCCTGTTTGGTATCTATTATTTTATTGAGCATAAAAATCAAGAGAGATGCAATATTATATATTGCACTATTACCATTATTCAATAGCACTGTGGATCTTATGTATTAGTTTCAGAAATGAATTATACATGATGGGTAACTTAATTATAAATAGTACACCTCGTAACTAAACTCTATACATACATACATACATTTTTCATGATATAATTTTGACTATTCTTTTTCCCATTATGTGGAGCCTAGGTCAAGTATTCATAATTTGATCCGTGACCCACGCACCATATATGCTAGGACCACAATCTTAATAATTGGTCGCGATCGCCTTTTCCCCGTGCTCAAAGTAACAAGGTCGACAAAACGAATCAAGACTTTTATCCCAAATGTTCAAGTTTAAAACACACATACCCCACACGTCATTCTTTCTCTCTCTATCATGTGCGCCCAACCAAAATGAAAGAAAAAACAATCAAGTCCTGGTCCCAATCTCCCTTTGCATCTTGGAAGAGTTTTTTATGAAACTGAACGAGTAATACTGTAAGCGTGGCACCTCGAAAATATCTAACATGTCTTCGTAATTAATTAACCAATTATTCTCAGTTTTTCACGATCGTGGCAGTCGCACTCGCAGTCTCATGTGGCGAGACTTTAGGCAGCGTTCCTTATTTTCCACAACCAATGCACCAATTATTTTGCATCTCTCACTGTCTCGATTCATAGTTCTTCGCAGTGGGGTTCCAGTCTCCCCACGAGTCTTGCCTAAATTTAATGCTTGGAAGAAAATTAAATTGATCTAAGCAAACTGACTTTTTTTTTTATAATAAAAAGTTTAGATGGGATAGACACCGGTAAACTAGAGAGCAAACTGACGTTTTTCATTTCATCTCTCCCCTTTGATAAAATTGTCTAGATTTTTAAATTAAATTTAATAGTTCAAGTTTTAAAAGTATAAAATAACCTATATTGTTAAAACTTTAATTAAATGAGTTAGGATTACATCACATCAATAAAAAAACCCCAGTAGAGAAAAATCAAGTCCCCTCCCATCTCTTGAACGCGATATACCTCATTATGAGGTTATTCCATTACTTGCTATGAGGTGTAAGAACATACATGTGTGTGCGCGCTCGTTGAATTGGATAAATGATTTATTTATAAATAAATTTCCTGAATAATTTGTTAAAATACTGTGAAGTTTTAATGTCTTTCACTGTCATCTTTTATACATGTAAAAGGATCAGATTGCTCATTAACCAATTAAAGAGTTTGACTTATTCAATTGTAAACCAAAGAAACTTGAATTGTAAATTTTGAAAACTAACCTGTAAATCTATATATAAAATTTGAACAGGGGATAATTTAGTCTTTTTGCACTTCTAAAAAATAATACTTTTTGCCAAAGTGAAAAAAAATGATATGTAGAGACTTTATTGTATTTTAATATATTCGTGAGACTTATTTATAAAATTTTTCCCAAATTTTGATATATGTTTCATATAAATTTAGAAGATCTTAGCCAGCATAACGTTCGAAACATTCATTTTCTGGCACATGATTGAAAAAGGAAAAAATGAAAATTAAATCTTAAAATAGGAAATTGATGACAATTTTATCTCTCATAAAAAAGTTTGAAATATAAATTATAAATATTGATTCAAATAATAAAAAATTCAATTTTTTATTATAATTAAAACATATAATGAATGATATTTTTATTTGAAACAATATTTATAACTTATTTGTCAAAAAATTAACTATTATTAATTTATTATTTGGAGATTTTTCTGTCATGCCCCCGTTGAAAAGTCTTCTGGAAAAGATGGGAAATTATAAAACAAGAAAAAAGAAAAGCAAAGCTTGACTGGCTTCTGGTATTTCATTGTCTTGCATTGACCTTCTCTATCATCAATATCATTATCATCACTCAATTAACCCCTTCACTGCCATTGCAAATGTCTTGTGACTCCGGCGGCCAGATCCTCCCCCACTTGTCGTCGTTGTTAAAATTCACTGAATCATAAAATTAAAGTCTTCATACACCAACACCACCAACACGCCCTTCCTTCACCCATTAACATGACCTTCAGCACTATAATTTTCTTACTCTTCTTCATCGGGTTCCTTAATTCCTCTTCTGCTCAAGTAATAGGACGCAATTCTCTTTACCCTCTCTGCTCTATCGACAACAACTTCACTGCCAATAGTACCTTCCAATCTAACCTCAACACCCTCTTTTCTTCCTTAACCTCCGACAAAACCGCCACCCTCGACTTCTACAACGCCAACGTTTCCAGCGGTGGCGAGACCATATACGGCCTCTTCATGTGCCGGGGGGACGTCAACCACGACGCGTGCCGCCAGTGCGTCGGTAACTCAACGTTACAGTTATCTTTATATTGCCGATTTTCGAGGCAGGCCGTAAACTGGCGCGACAACTGCTTGGTTCGATATTCCGACCGCCACTTCTTCTCCACCGTTGACACAAGGCCCAGGCTCCGGATGCTGAACCCTAACAATGTCTCGAACCAGGCAGGATTCATGAACGTGTTGATGACTATTATGAACCGGACGGCGGATGAGGCGTCCAGGCCTGCCTTGATGAAAAAGAAGTTTGCAACGAATGCGGCGACGGTTGAGTTTCAAACTCTGTATGGTATGGTTCAGTGCACGCCGGATCTTTCGGCGCGAGATTGCAGAAGATGTCTAAGTGATGTGATTGGGGACCTTCCATGGTGTTGCGAGGGGAAGATTGGAGGAAGAGTTCTGTATCCAAGTTGCTTCGTTCGCTATGAATTGTATATCTTCTTTAATTCTTCTAAGCCTATTCGGCCAGTAACGCTGACGCCTCCTCCTCCGGCTCCACTTTCTCCTCCCACAAATCCTTCAGGTAAGCTTAATTATATATATATATATATATGCTTTCTGATTTTCCTTTTTCTGAGAAAATTAGAGTAATCCTATTAATGAAAAATATTATGCTGATTACAGCAAAATAGTTATTTCAAAACATGAGATCAGCATGGCAACAGGAAAGCAGAGCAATAATGAATATATTATTCCTTGCCAATATGTACACAAATAGTAGAATGTGAATGTTGTAAACATAAAAATTATAATTATAAAAGTGAGACTTTTAAACTTAATTGTGCAAAATACTTCTAAAAACTTTAATCATAAAAGTGAATGTTGTAAATATAAAAATACTTGTTAAAATATAAAATTTTGAATTTATTTTTTATGATAAATTTTTTAATTTCTATTTTTTTAGTTGTAGTACTTTTTAGGATTAAAATAAATATTTTGAAAAAAATTCGTTTTTTGGGAGGAGGAGGAGGGACCTCGTCAGTGAATATTTTAGTTTATAAATATAATATTAAATATTTACCAAATCACTATAAAAGTGTTCCAAAAATTACTATAAAACAGAATTATTAAAATTGAAGAAAATAATAAAAATTATAATGTCAATAAGTATTAATTTCAAAACTAGATTAAACGTCTCATGCTCATGACCAATTAATAGTTTAGTTTCTTGCAGATTTAACCCGAAACTGATTTGAGAAGTTTAAATGTATTTTAATAATTAATCTTTTATTTTTGAACTATCAATATAAGATTATAATACTTTTCCCCCAAAATATAGAGAACATACTAATGGAGCTGTAAAATGGTTGTAGTTTTTTCTTGTTCAACCACATAACAGGATGCGTTGAGGTCTTTAGAAATTTTAAAGATGTCCTTCAAATCGAATCACGATTAACTAAACTAAATTTATTAAATTGTTTATTTTTATTTTAAATACTTTCATATTTAAATTACTTAATAAAGAAGCAAGTCGATTTGGAGTCATGGAAGAAGAGAATCTAACATGTTAGTGCCTAAAATCACATTCGCGAATGCGAAACGCAGAAACGACTCTATGGTCGCTTTTGTGTTTTGGTGTTCCGCTAACACCAGCTCGCGTGTGGCAAACACGTCCTAGCCCTTCAAATGATTCATGTTAGATTCTTTTCACAAATGACTCCAAAAATGACTTGCTTGGAGGTTGATAAGTCTTCTATTATTGGCTTTTATAGCTCAACCTTGTCAATGCGCCAATTACTTCTTTATAGACATAGTGATATAATGAGTGACATTGAGACCTGGAAGTATCTGATGTTTATACTTTATACAGGAAAAAGAAAAGGCCGATTAACAAGGACCATTGTGATAGCTGTGGTTTCTCCTGTCGGTGCTGGGATGCTTGTATGCTTCGCCTACTATTTCTTGAAGAATCAAATAAAGAAGATACGTATGGTTTTTCTCATGCGAAAATACTGTAAGTAATTTTCATTCTATCTCTCTATTCATACACTTTGGGTAGCTAGTTGGGAAGAGTGGCGATCCTTCTTTTTAATTTGATGTCTAGTTGGAAGCGAAAGCAACACTTTAGAGCCTCTGCAATTCAGTTTGGCTACCATTGAAGCAGCGACAAATAAGTTTTCGCAGGAAAGTAGTTTAGGTCAGGGTGGATTTGGACAAGTGTACAAGGTGATAAATGCTGTCAATGCAAGTGTTATTATATATATAATTCATTATGATGTTTTCCATTAAATTTAACCGACTATGTATGATTTCAGGGTGTTCTTTCAAATGGTCAAGAAATAGCTGTAAAAAGACTTTCAAAAAGTTCTGGCCAAGGAACAGAAGAGTTTAAGAATGAAGTTTTATTAATAGCCAGACTCCAACATAGAAATTTGGTGGCCTTGCTCGGGTTTTGCATAGAAGAACAAGAGAAAATTCTCATTTATGAATATGTTCCCAACAAAAGCCTTGATTACTTTTTATTTGGTTAGCCTCTTTTGAACTCATTTTATCTCTAAATTGAAATTTATAGTTCATATGTGCCATGCATGTTATTTATTATTTAATTTTTGCTATCTCATGTGGGATAAAGTTGATTACTTAATTCTCAATTATCTTTATTTAGTCTTTCACTTTAGTTACTCACAATCGGTTTATGTATAGGTTCCCATAAAAGCAAAGTATTAAATTGGGAGGAACGTTGTAAAATCATAGCAGGAGTTGCTCGAGGGATTCTTTACCTTCATGACTATTCTCGAGTTAAAATTATACATCGTGATCTTAAACCTAGCAATATTTTATTAGATGATGAAATAAATCCAAAAATTTCAGATTTTGGCATGGCAAGGATGGTTGGTATCAATGAAAATGAGGGAAGTACAAATAAAATTGTCAGAACATAGTAAGTTCTAATTTTTTTTCCTTCAAACTCTTTACATCTGGTAAGTTTGGCTAATTAAGTTGACACACAAGTTTGCCTTTTAATCATTCATTTGAAATGTCCAAGTTTGCTGCCATTATCTATTGGAAAATATTTCTTGATTGACATTTCTATCTTTTTGCAGTGGCTATATGTCTCCAGAATATGTAATGTTTGGAGAATATTCTGAAAAATCAGATGTTTTTAGCTTTGGAGTAATAGTTTTAGAAATTATTACAGGAAAGAAGAATACAAGTTATCACGAGCAATCACCATTCTCTCGTGGCCTTCTAAATTATGTAAGTTATTTTTTATACTGTGTTTATCTCACTAATATTTTTGTATGTAATTCTCTTAAACTTGAGAGAGATAATAAAGGGCGGTGATTAAAATTAGTAAATTGTTGCAGGCTTGGAATCAATGGAAGGATGAAAAGATGTTAGAGATATTGGATTCAAATCTAAATGAATCCGAATCGTTTAATGAAGTGATCAAGTGCATCCAAATAGGGTTGTTATGTGTTCAAGAAAATCCAGAAGCAAGGCCTTCCATGGCTACAGTTGTTTCATATCTCAGCAACGATTCAATTCAATTGCCAATTCCGCAAGAACCTGCATTCTTTTTGGAGGGTCAAGTGGAGCTTAATACTGAAAGTAAAGAATCGGTGAATGAAGTGTCTATCAGTGTGTTCTATCCTCGGTAGTACGGAGCTTTTACAATTTCATCTTGTCCTTGGACGCCAAGGCTCTATTTGGTACCTTGATTATAAAGAGAGAGAGTATTTTTATGTTATTATACCAAAATGAAGAGATTCAACGTATGTATATATATATATATATATGGTAATCCGTAATCTTGACATCATTATTCAATACTACATTTTCTATTACCTTCAAGAATAATTGGACAGAGCAAATGGAAGGGAAAGTGAATATTTGCACACTCACTTGGAATTAAGTACACTGCTGAGTCTATTCATTGTATCTGTACAGCATAAGCAGTAGCCAAGTCTTAACCAACCAAGAACTACTAGTTAACTTTACAAGTTATAAAAGGTGATCAAATAATACCCTGAGTGGTCCTGCAAGCTGGAGCGCATGAATAGCTTTCATGCCAAGCTTGGACAAGAACGAAACAAATTGTGCAGGCGCCAAAAGTTTCTATATATACTAGCATAAAACAAGACTACCACACAAAGAAAGCAAGGCCAGAGAAGACACGCAAGCGCACACGTCCTCCTAATTTAATTTCATTGTCACAAGTTGCACGGTGGCCTGCTTTGCTTTTCTAGAACAATAATGAATCTGGTCTGAAGATCCAAATCTGAATATCGCAGTATAATTTGGGAATGGTTGTATGGATGAGAGAACTTGGTAGCTCTTGGATCGTGGTGTGGAAGTCCGGAGGAGACAATGGGTACAAGTGGAAGTCCCCAGATGTATTATAGTAATATGTTGTTTAAAATATCAAGATAAAAAATTGAAATTAACTCACAAGAAAGGAAAATAAAACGAGATCGATAAGCTTTTAACAATTGGAGTATTTGAGTTCATATATACAAACAAGCCCAAAAATGCAAGATGTTAGGATTGAGATTGATTGTATGGGATTTTTATATGTTAGGTATTTAAATTATCAGCTTTATTTTAATTCATCAAGTATTTTCAACCTTTTCATAATTTTCACGCCACTCATGATTCACGACCTCACCTTCCACCTTGTTCGGTTTCAATGTTCATCTAAGGACGATCACTTGTACTGCATTGTTTAACAAGTAACTTTTTTTCTTGAAAACTACAAAGTTATCATAATTATTATAATAATAACTCAATAAATATTATAAATTTTAATTATAACATTAAATAAATAAATAGATAAATTAACCATTAAAATTTGACCTAAACAATTCAAATATAAATTTTATCATAAACACTATAAGTAGTTTAGAACAAGGATTGGGTTTGGTAAAAGAAGCTAGTCTCTTATAATGTGGTAAATTAAAGTTTGAATTTTATTAGGATTAAGGGTTATTTTTATTCCTCAACTGTATGTGAAAGGTCAAATAAGATTCTAAATTCAACTTAGGATCAATTTTATCCCTCAACTTACAAAATTGTTGCAATTGTGCCCTTAGTGTTAACTCTCCCAATTTTACTCTTATGTGGGTCTCATATTTAAATTTTTTTAATATTTAGTGGGTCTCACTTTTTTTGTAATATAGAAAATACACCTCTTCCTCTCTCCTCTCTCTCCTTCATTCCCTCTCCCTAGCATCTCTCTCCCTCCTTCCAACTTTCTCTCTCCGTCTTTCGTCTCCCCCTTTCCTCACACACTCATCATCCTCTCTCCTCACACACTTATTGGCCATGCCGTGGACAATAACATATGTTTGTGGGAAAAGTGGTGGGGTGCATTTCAATTTGATTCTCCACAACAACATTCAAAAAGCTATGTGAGTGTTTGTGAGAAATGAGAATCATTGATGGGAGAGAAACATCATCGTTCATTGGTTTCCATAATGTTATGTGTGCCTCACTCACTACGCTTGAACCTCCTTATTAATGGCTCTTATTTTCTTAAAGGGAGAAAAGATCATGTATGTAATGTAATGGACGTTTCCATAATGTAATGGCTCTATCCTTCATTCCCTCTCTCCCCTCGAGGTCTTCTTTTGCCCCCCTCTCTCCCCCTCACTCTCTGTCTCACATGCCCCTTATCCTCCTGATCATTCATGCATGCATATAGGTGGCTTCTCAAGAGCATGTCGAGGATGTGGGAGCAATCATTGAATTTGGTGATGGTAGGAAGCACCATCTCTATTTTTATCATAAAAAACAGGGGAGAACAAGACCAAAGTAGATGAGGAACAACAGATTGATGGCCAACACCTTGTTCCACGACTGCATGTCATCCTATTGGAGCTAGTTATAATTGTCGCAGTTGGTGGAGCGGAAGACAAGAACGCCAACCTGAGTGCAAGCGTAGCACTCAATGAAGGTGATGAAGGTGTGGAGTTTGGTTCTAAGAGAAAGAGACATGCCAAGAAAATGCCGTCATACTCAATCCTTGATTTGTGCCCTAAGTAGTGGAACACCAATGGATCCCCTACCTTGCATGCATGCTTGATGAGCTTCCAAAGGAATGGAGGAGGAGGAGTGGAACCTCTTTTTGCCATGCATGCATGCTTGATGAGCGAGTCCCTTGCCTTTCACGCACACAGACAACTCCTTCTCTACGACAATAATTCTCACACCATGAGCTGAAATAGAGGAGGATAAATGAAGAGCAATAGTTGCAGCGATGATAGAGGAGAAGTTGGTGAAGAAGAAGAAGAGACGGTGCAAGAATTGTAGTTCACCTTCATCACCTCCGCCACATCGTGTGTGTTCTTCCGGAAGTTGAACGCTGCACAAATTGCACAAATCTTTGACTGTGTAAGTTACAAATCCGAAGGAAGGAAACAATGCTGAAGTTGGTGCTAGTGAAGGAGCTTTCACAGTTGCTAGTGAAAGGTAAGGGAGAAGGAGAAAAATATTAAAAAAAAATTGTGAGACCCACTTAAATATTTTACAAAAAAATATTAAAAAATTCAAATGCAGCCCCTGTAATAAAGAAAAAGAATGATTTTTAAAGTTGAAGGATAAAATTGACTATAAATTGAGTTTAGGATCATTTATAAGCTTTTGTGACCAGTTTAAGAGTAAATTGACCTTTAACCCTTCTTATTAAAAAAGGCGCCCATATTTAAGGCAAGATCATACCTCAAACATGATTGCTTCTAATAGAAGGGCATATACACATAGTTAAAAAAAGAGTGAAAAAATTATTTCATAAAATATTTTTTATTATAGTTCAATTTTTCCAGTTTTTACTTTTTAATATAGTTTTAAACTATTCAGGTCAAACTTTAACCATTTAAAATTATTTATCTAATATAATATATATTATTTATTTATTTAGTTATTATTATAATATTTATTTATTTCAGCTTTTACATTTAAACTTTTGAGAGAAATTCAATGTCCCAAAATATTAGACATTTTGATAAAAATAAAATTTTACTAATAATACTTTTTTAATATTTATCCTTTCCATTATATTACCTTTCTTTAATATTCTTTGACAAGTAGAGTAATTAAATGAAAGGTATTTTTAGAAGTTTATATTTTTCTTTGAAAAAATAAAATTATAAAATATATTAATAAATTTTATTTATATATGTAATTTTATTCAAAAATATCTTATAAACTGATACGAGGGAGCAAAAACTACGTGGCTTCAGGTGAAAAAAATTACTTGCGAAACAAACGTTAATTGACGAACACAGCTGAAACCAAACGCTCTTCCACCTACAACACCTGGTAGTACTTTAGGCGGCGATCCCTTTTTAACAATAAACTCCATTTTCCCCCCATCCGTGTCTCTCTTCATTCAAGTGTGTTCAGATTCCTCATTTTAAGTCCCCTCCGTCTCGTCTATTTTGTGAAAGGGCCACTATGAACATTTAAATAAGGCTTAACTTCCCTGCTTCATTTATTATTCTGAATTCTGATTTGACTAGCCAGTCCACGGGTGGAGTCTTTCTTCAACATGCATCTTTAGAAAAAGCAGTCACCAACGTGCACTCGCACGCACGGAGAGAGGGTGTCACAGTGTAAACAAGAGGATAAAAGGAGCCTCATTTGCTTTATTTTTTTCGTTATAGCGTAAAATCTTCCCGAATCCGATACGACGTTTCATTGACTTGCTTCGAGCTCCTCAGTCACCGACACCATCTTCCCCCTTATCGTAACGTCCGTGACTATGGCTTACCACAAAATTTTCTTTTTCTTCTTTATTCGCTCCCTCTTCGTTGGAAATAAAAGCAAACTCAAGGAGCCCAAGTCTAAAAACAGATACGCCCAAGTCAATCCATATTGTTGTTGTGCATAACCTGTATTCTTTATTCTTTTATTAATTATTACTTCTATTGGATTTGTTTTTCTTGCTCGTCACGAGTTCTCTCGTGACTTGTCCATTCTTGTAACCAACTTGTCAACATGAGTACATGTTTAGCACCCGCAGCACCTCCTCACACATTGTGAGACCCTGTTAGAATCTCTCTCTCTTTTATCTTATAACGGAAGTTCAGGGTACTTATCTCTACCACAACTGCAGTACCAACAAAACCTTCGCTCCAAATAATACCTTCCGAAGGGACCGGATCACCCTCCTCTCTTCCTTGGCTTCCGCCAACTCTGAGTTCCACAACACCATCGTTGCTGGTGGCGGCGACACTGTCTACTGCCTCTTCATGTGCCGGGGTGACGTCACACTCCAGGTGTGCCGCCAATGCGTGGTTAACACAGCCCAACGAATAACTTAGCTTCCGAGTGCCAATTTTCGAAGGAGGCCATATCTGGTATGACTAATGCATGCTCCGCTATTCCAACCGCTCCTTCTTCCCCACCGTCGACACAAGGCCTAGAATCGGCCTCTTGAACGTGTCTAAAGTGTCCCGGGGGAGCTTCTTTCAGTTATTGTTGGACACACTTAACTTTACGGCAAACAAAAGCAGCCAACGACGCTAGGAAATATGCGACAAGCGATGCGAGCATATCTGGGTTCGAAACTATGCATTCTCTACTTCAGTGCACGCCGGACCTCTCATCCCAAGATTGCAGAAGGTGTCTCAGAGGTGTGATTGAGACCTTCCATGGTGCCGGGTGGGACAAGAAGGAGGAAGAGTTATATATCCCAATTGCCATGTTCGCTATCAGTTGTGTCTCTTTCACAGCTCTGTATGATCAGCCAGTGGCGATGACACCTTCATCGTCTGTAGTACAGACTCTATACTCTCTCCTCTCACAAATTCTTCAGATCCTAAAGGTAAAGTTCAACTTAATCGAACATTTCTTTGTTGTTGTTGAGAAATTAATACCCCTTCTTATTTTCTATATGATGCCATTACATTGAGACTTGGAAGTATACGATGTTCTGCAATAAAAGGGAAAGGTCGATCAGGGAAGACCATTATGATAGTTGTGGTTTCTCTTGTTGGTTCTGGGATACTTTTTGGTTTCTCCTACTATCTCTTAAAGAGTGTCATAAAGAAGAGACGCACCGCGATTCTTAGACAAAACTACTGTAAGAAATTATTTTTCATTCTCAGACAAAAACATCTATCCATATAATTTGGCTTGTCAAAAGAGTCTTACATGATGATGCTTTAATTGCTGATCTTAGTATCCTTTAACTTTCTTTTGTTTTTTGTTTGTCTGGTTGGGAATGAAAGCAGCCATTTAGAGCCTTTGCAGTTTAGTTTGGCTACTATTGAAGCTGCAACTGATAAGTTTTCACATGAAAACTTCTTAGGAGGAGGTGGATTTGGACATGTTTACAAGTTGACAAATGCCAATGATGTAAATTCTATACATATACATACATTACACACACATTTATTTATGTGCTCACGCCCCATGTATATATTTTCCTTCATTTTAATCCAACCTATTATAATTTTAGGTCGTTCTTTCAAGTTGGCCAAGAAATAGCAATCAAAAGACTTTCGAAAAGTTCTAGGTAGAAGAATTCAAGAACGAGGTTTTGTTAATTGCCAAACTCCAGCACAGAAATTTGGTAGCTTTACTTGGATTCTGCATTGAAGGGCAAGAGAAAATTCTTATTTATGAATATGCTCCAACAAAAGCCTTGATTTGAAACCAAGCAATTTTTTTTTTCGGCCATGAAACCAAGCAATATTTTATTAAATGATGAAATGAATCTAAAAATTTTAGATTTTAGATTGACTAAAATAGTTGCTATCAATGCAAATGAGGGGAGTACAAGTAGAATTGTTGGAATATAATAAGTCCTAAGTTGACCTTTTCAACTAATAATCTTAGATGTCCAGATTTTCTTATCATATATTGAATAAAGTTTTATTATCAATAATTTTCAGTGGTTAGCTGTCTTCAAAGTATGCAATGTTTGGAGAATACTTTAAAAAATCAAATATTTTCATTTTGGAGTTATAGTTTTGAAAATTATTAGTGGAAAGAAGAAGACAAGTGGTCATGATAAATCACAATATGCTGATGGCCTCTTAATCTATGTAAGTTATAACAATGTATATCTCTTGTACTGCTAATATTGCTGACGCAATCATCCCATCCTTTAGATTCGAAGAAAAGATATTTTACCGTATAAGTTAAACAAAGAATTTGGATTCAAAAGTAGTTTACTGAATTGTTATGCAGGCTTGGAAGGAATAATGGAAGGAAAAAAGGCTGTAAGAGATAATAGATTCAAATATAAAAGAATTTGGATCATATAATGAAGTGATTACGTGCATCCAGATTGGATTTTATGTATTCAAGAAAATCCAAGATGCAATATCTTCCATGCATGACCACAATTGTTTCATACCTTAGCAATGATTCAATTCAACTGCGGCCATTTCCATAGGCCAGAGCCTGCATTTTTTCTGCACGGTTCATTGATGGGGCCTAGTACTCGTGCAAGTAAAGAATCAGGTTTTACCATTGAAGTCTTTATCAGTGAATTCTTTCCTCGCTAGCTAGTGTATTGCTTTTATTTCTTCTTCTTAAGAATTCTTATATATTTTACCGCACAAAAATATTGAGAGATACCGTTTATGCTATAGTCTTCTTGACATTATTGACACTATAGTGATTGTTTAAAATGAAAAAAAAAAAGATCTTTTTTCATTCACGAGATTAGTTTCAATACATTTTATTCTATTCTACATATATATACTAACAAAGTGTTTCTCTTATAATAGGAAATCATTAGGACTTGTTTCCTTATCAAAATATGTGGACAAAACTTTGAAGTATACATTCAGAAACAGAAAGCGGCAAAAGGAAAAAAAAAAAAAAAGTTTAAAGCACATAGAAGAAACTCACACGGTAGTCACAGTCACACTTGTCAGTTTCATCCACACCGCACCCCTGTTTCTGTTGTGAGAGAAGCTGTATACGTAGTTGGTTAAATCATAACCATTGTAACTAATCAAGTTATAATTCAGTTACTTATCAATTAGCACACGAGTACAATGACTGAGCTTTGAGGATACAAGTATCTGTACAGAACACAAGAATGAATGATCAAGTAATAATCAATAAATGCTTGAGAAAGTAGGCAAAAGGACATTCATAGATGATAGATTGGTGTAGCAAGTGACTTGTGACTGTGAGCTGGGAACTTCCCATACCACAGGGCCGTAGTCCTGTCAAAACTAAGAAAATATCTCAGTCTCAGATCAGTTAGTTGTAAATTACTTGATTTTACAGCAAGGTGGAGTCCATTTTGATGGCTGTACATCGAATGTTATCATAGCTGGAAGATAGTACTCGGGCTGCGTTTGTTGATTGATCTTTAAAAGTTCAACTTACTTTCAGGGTAGGGTGCATCACATCACCAACGTAAGACAACCGACAAAACCCGTTCGTTTTTTTTTCCCCCCTTTTAGATGGATGCAACAGTAATAGTTGAAAATGTATGCTGCTAAGTATAAATGGGGAGACTTATAAAGGAAAATACCTACCTGACCTCATTTTAAACAGGGAAAATCAATTTGTTACATATCATGGAGCGACATAATTTTTCGTTCCTAATTTTTTTAATTATTGATTGAGTTTTTAAACTTTGACTTAAAATAACTTAATATCCTTGTAGTTTATTGAGAAAAAAAATTATAAGAATTATGCTGTTTTCAGTAGAATACTATAAAAAGACTAAGTTGCTTTGAGTTACTAAGAAACTATACGAATTAAGTTGATTCAAATTAAAGTACTAAATTGAAAATTAAAAAATGTTCAAAAACAAAAGTTATATTATTTATATTTTTGATTGACAACCCATGATTTTAATTATCCAGTAAATTCATGAGTTGAAATTGCAAATTCTAGTTCTGTAACTCCAAATTTTTCTTTTATTGGAATAAAATTGTGAAATTTTGGGCCTTGTACTTGATTTTGATTAGTAAATTTGAGAGAAATTAAGAATTTTCGATGAGAGACTTCTAAATTCTTTGAACAAAATTTAAGGATCTCTTTTTGTATTTAAAAGTTAAAATTACTCTAAGGTTTGCAACTGTAATTTTCACATTTAATTATCTCACAGCTAATGAATGAAAATAAAATGGAAATGAAATTCTTACCAAAAAAATGCAAATGAAATACCAAGTGTACGACATACAACAATACTGACATGCTGGGAGCCCAATAAATACTGGTGAATTTAACTTAAGAATTTTTGTGTTTGCATTTTTTTTCTACACTCTGTAACTCTATTTAATTAAAGTTGACGTTCTCGATGGGGTCTCCTTCTTAGAGTAGTAATTTTAACTAAAATAAATAAATTCAAGCATTTTTTAAATCATCATGTGGCGGCTGGTCACATCTTTGAATATCGGCTGTGTCCTCGTTCTTCTTTTCAGCTGGTGGGGCTCCTTGATTTTTTCTTCTTTTAAATTTGGGTTTATTTTTGTTTGGGCTTTTATCGTTTTCGTTGTTTACTCTGGTGTTAGGTTCTTCGTTTTCTTCAGCTTAGCTTTTGCTCTTTGTTGTGTTTGCTAATTGTTGTAATTAGCCCAAGTTGTTGTTGTTTCGTTTTATCTTGTTTAATGAATAATTGACTTATTAGATATCAAAATAATAATAATAATTAACTTATTATTAAAAAAACATGACTTTTTTCTTATTTTATAGAAGATCGGGGTAATTATTGTACAACCATCTGGTTTGATATTTACAACTCAATTTTTAACAATTTTTTTTTAAAATCTAACTATAATTAGATTGATTTTTTAGGAGCTAGCTAACTGTAATTCTCTTGACAAATTATTTGTTTGTAATCCACTAAGTATTTTCAACCCTGAAAGCTTACGGTTGGATCTGGAAGTAAAGAATCATGACCAATGAAGTGTCTGGGTGAATTTTTCTCTCACTAGTGCAAGGCTTTCATTTCTGCTTTTTCTTGAACACCAATGCCTGTTTGGTATCTAGAACATAGAAGCATTTAATTTCTAGTTTTTTGTAACAAAAATTTTGAATATATATTGTACTCCTGATTTTACTAATCAATAATAAATATTTTTATATATTATACAAATGAAAATTTTCATTTATAAAATTATTACTTTTTATACTATTTTTATTTATTCGATTTGGGATATAATAAACAAATATAATTAAAGGGTTTTTATTCCTTTTGTAAAAAGCAATTATCAGTGCCAGTTTTATTATTGTCAAAACGTTTGTGGGTTCAGAATTATGAAGGAAAGAACATAATCACCTTATCGTGCCATCACAAATCTGCATCAATGGCCGCCATGAATGGTAAAAGAAATGGGCTGAAGTGCCGACGTATTAGGAGCGTCTTGTAATCTTACTCTATCCAATGAAGTAGCGTTGGCCCATGGACCACAATCGCATCATGGCATTACGCTACCAACACCGATTCCAGAGGCACCATTTGGGACAAGAGTCACTTGATTCCTGATTCAATGACATCTCTTTTTAAAAAAAAGGGTTGTGGGTTCTATTTCTAATATGATAGAAGTGAGTTTATGAATGCGTATGTAGTAAATGAAACTATCTTCAGTGATGAGCACCATCTTTTTCAGTCCATCTTCTGTGCTCATTATTTTCGACTTTTAATGCACGGTAGAATAAGTAAAAGGGGACAAAAATACATATCCAAATCCGAAATAACGAAAATGTTATTGTCCACATATTTCTCAAGTACTTGTTATAAGTCACTTCAATTCACTTTAATTATTAGAACAGATCTCACACTCACAGTCAAGCTTCTGTGTTTGACACAGCCACTAACGGACTCACTCACTGGCCTAAGCAAAAAGTCTCTCCCGACGGGCGACGGCCGGAGAGAAGACTAGGCTCTCCCTCCCGTCTCCTTCACACACACATGGCAATTTAATCAACGGAAATTTTAAATTTGATCACTCAAAGAGTCACATGGAGTTAGACGGCAATGTGTGTGGTGGAGCAATAACGAAGCATTGTATTTGTTCTCCAATATAGCTTGTGGGGACTTTCTGCAAGTTGATAATACAGACAGCTCCTAGTGCGCCTTGTTTTTTTCTTGAGAACGATCCAATAGAAGCAATGCATGATTGAGAAGGCAAAAGCATATTCATATAATATAGGTTTAGTAAATGACTTGTGAGCTGGGAACTTCCCCCACCAATGGACCATATGTAGTCCTTTCAAAATTAAGAAAATATCTGAGTCTCGAGAGCAGTTAGTTATAAAATAATTGGTCTGCACTTTGCAGGTAGCTGGAGTCCATTTTGATGGCTCAACAGTGAATGTATCAACTCGATGATAGTGCATTGGTTGGCCCCGCTTAAATCAAAACGTGACCTAATCGTTCTTTGAAACTTCTTCATCTTATCTTCAGAGCATGGGCACCAACGCAAGACAAAAACCCCTTTGCTTCTTTTCCTTCTTTTTTTCCTTTTCTTATGGATGGATGTAATGATAATAGTTGATCAAGTGGGATCAAGCATTTGAGAGAGAAATTTAAGGTCCCCAGACTTGATTTTGATCCGTATATTTGAGAGTGAAAGTTAAAAATTCTTGAGGAGAAACTTGTCAATTATTTGAACAAAATTACCCTATGGTTGTCATTCCTCCTTTTGGCTCTATCGAATACCCTAGGGGTTGTGCCACTTTGGCCGTTTGGTGCGTGGAAAGTGTCCGTGTTCTCTCTTTCCAAAAATGAATCATATATTTGTTTGGGTCAGTGCTGAGTCAGTATGGTTTGTCTTCGAGAACCCCTCTATTGTAGATAGGGTTCAGGTCTATATATATATATTGCAAATATCAAGCTATCGTTCACACTACTTCATAATAAAATTATAGTTAGGTTTTCCAAAAAACTATTTAACTCGATAGTTAAGTCTCAAAAAAGTTTTATTATACATAGGCTTCAATTTTGTGAAAATATAAGTTGCAAATATATAGGAGATAATCAGTTGAAAATAATTGAAAGTGATATACAAGGCTTGAATGCCCAATTGTCCGCTAAGACTCCCTTACTTGTAATTATCTTCTTCTTCTTCTTTTTTTGGCTAGCCCTTTCTTGTAATTATCTAATTCAATTTTTGCTACTCAAATTTTGGGAAAATTTTTATAAAATTGATTTTTTTTAAGACATGAGTGTAATTTTGTCCGGTATATTTCCAAAATTTTCGTAATTTTCA